AACATTTGAGTAAAGATACATAATTATAAAATAACACATTATGTTATAAACTTATAACATCATATAAAATTATAATTATATCATTTTTATATTTAAAACAATTTTAAAATATTTTTTTCTTAATTTTCAAATTTTAAACGGATAAATATTATTCTCATAACAAAATATTAAAAAATGTAAGATTGGGGGACAAAACACAAAAGACGAACCGGAATCCAGGGGCAACCATTTGAGCTAACCAATGAGCAGCTGCCACGCAACATGAAAGGATCGTAAAACCAAATCTAGAATCTGTCTGATGACACGTGGACAGTAAAACACCAAGTCGAAGGGGACCCATCCTAGTGAGGTGTCGATGAGGTGGACGAGAATCGAGCGGGTACAGTATGTGAAGTTACGAGGTTAGATGTACGGCTAGGATTGATTGAGTTTTGAGGGATTTTGAGCAGTGAAAGTGAATCTAACGAAAGGATGAAATGACAGCAGTCAAAGATTCAATCTGAACGGTTTGATTGAGATTGTACGGCTGAGAGCGGACTCTGTGTTTTTTTGTCCTGGTTTCAGGACACAGATCACGATGTCATTAAAACAGGGGTGCAGAAATTTCATCTTCATAGTAGCACTGTAGCACCAGACCATCAGCCTATTTGGTGAAGGGGCACCCCCACCATATTAAAGACTAGCTTCAAATATAGTTTTGCTGCATTCAATGAGTTAATTTCTTTGAGTGTCGATTTTAAATTTTAAATTGATATGGTTTATAAGATTGTATTTATTTATTTATTAGTGAATTAGATTATAATTATAACGTGATGTTAAATAAATATTATGTATTAAAAATTTAATTTTTTTATTAATCTTTTAATATATAATAATTATATTAAGTTTCGATTAATCCAAAATCGAGTTACGAGAATCGGACCTCATTAGGGAAAACTCTTCCAACAGCTGTTTCTCCATTCATAAAACTCGAATTTAAGACCTTATTTAAGGAGAACCGAATTCCTTTCACTTAATCAATAGGTCGTTGGTGTATTAAAACTTTAATATATACAAATAATTGAACATTTGAATGAAGATACATAATTATAAAATAACATATTATATTATAAACTTATAACATCATATAAAATTATAATTATATCATTTTTTATATTTATTGTTTTTAATTTGGTTTTATCAAGTGTACATTTATCATTTTTCAAAAAACGATTTTAAGAATGTGGAAGATTACATGTAAATGTACTTGTTTTTGGTCTTGCGCATATAGGTGGGCTTACATTATTTAACTTTACTTTTTATATAATTTTACATATAATAATTCTTTTTACTTTAATAAGATTCATAATATTATATGTAATTACTTATTAAAATTATAAATAAAAGTTATGCAAATAAATTATCCACATATTATTACATTAGCTTAATTTCAATGCAAAAAATTATTTTTTTTTATCAACACAATTCCAAAGTAGAATTTAACAAAACTAAAATTAACACATCTAATATTTTATCATTTGTCAATCACCTTAGTAGTCTAGTGATATATATATATATATATATATATATATTTTCTAATAAAGTATTAAGGATTCAAATAGCATAACATAATAGAGGGTTGCAGGCTGCTTTTATTGTGCAACCGATTTTTTTTTTTATTAATTCTTATTTTATGGTTGACACAACCCATATCACTAATTTCCATTCATTTTACTGTGAAAATCATTGTTAGAAAAAACAGTTTTTACATGCAATTGTTGTTATTATTATTTTTTTTTATGGTAACTTGAAACTTTCACAAGAAAACTATTTATCTTCAACATCAGGATGGACATGAATTAACTATTTATCTTCAACATCAGGATGGACATGAATTTCATGTTTCTTCACAGTTAATAACACATGAACTTTTGGATTTAAAATTTTGCTATAAGTGTGTTAATTAGACTACGATGAGATACTTTCACACGAAGTCCTTCAATCGAATTTTTATTATGAATTAAGATATTGGAGTCAATTTAAAGGTCTAGAATACATGATGAATATTACTCATGTTTTTGATTTCTCAAATTTTTTGTCTAAATTACATTGAACTCAGAAATGAAAAACATACTCCCAACAGTTGCTAATTTCAACTACTCAATCCTCAACTAAATCTTGTTTGTTGCCCATGGCTTGACAGTGTAACATTGATTGTTAGGATCCGGCACCTTATATTGATTTATAAGTTGACCATGACAATTAGCAGTGCCACCACCACTTCAACAATTTTTGACTTAGAACCTCCATCATTATTGCTGCATCCATATGACACATAACCTTACCAATAGAGGATAAAAGAAATAAAACATATTAGCAACTGTTTCCTTTGAAAAACTTTTATTTTGTGATTAATGTAAAAATGGATTAGAATATATTTGAAGAAAAAAATTATTATACTACAATGTAGAAAATCAAATTAGAACAAGAATTTAGAAACATTTTACATAATTTTTGTTGCAATTTCGGAAGTTAGAGATAAATATATACCAGTTAAATATATATATACATATTATTAATTTTGCGCTTCAGTTGAATATCAGTAAAAAGTTAAAACTTAGATACTCTTCATCATCTAAGTAGCAAATGAAGATAATTTCTGAACCATAGAAAACAAATTGAAAGGTAACTTTATGCTCTTAAAACTAGTGTGAATATGATCTATTACATTTTGTTCTAAATTTGCCAACCTGCTACTACCAGCAGTGTACCAAGGAAAAAAAAATGTTGATTACTTCCACTGAGCCCATTTGAGAGATTCAGTTGACCTTCTTCCCATATTTGGTTGACCAGAATTTCCAGGGTAGTCATGCCACACCATCTCCATCTAGCAGAGGCAAAGCAAGTTGTTATTGAGCCTTTAAAAATGAAGGGTATCATACAGGCTCCAAGTTGCATGGGATACCAGTTTTAAGAGTAGATGCTTTCTGAACTGTCATATGTCATCAAAAATCAAAGTTTTAAAAGATGGATGGTTAACAAGACAATACGTCAGTCAATAAAACCTAGGCCTAGTGGTTAAAGTGGACGCTCTGGTGATACCCTCAGGTCTCAAATTGATTCTTGCTTTGTACCACGAGTTATTGTCCAACTTTAAGTTTGTTTGTTATCATTAGAGTTGGTTTTATTGTGTAAGTGTTACATGTTGATTGGTTGTTGTCATGGACACACAATGAAGTGAAATGTAATTGGAATCCATATATCAAAAACAGACATAGGTTTTAAGGGTAGGGACATCAATGTAAGCATATTACATGTGTGTTGATCTGTTTAAGTAAATTGCTTATACGTAAGTCAAATGCATCACAAGGGAAAACAAACATGCTATAGCAAATTATAGAACAGCATGAACAAACCTCTCCAACCATTACTGTATCACCTTCTTTAACACCAAGCTTCATAAGAGAACGATTCACACCACAAGCCTCGAGAACATGTTGGAACCTTTTCTCAGAATCCATATATCTGGTTCAAAAGAATCACAGTTTATATCAAAAGCAGTATTGGTGACGTTCAAGATAAGCCAGAAAGACAAAAAGATAAGGTATATCAAAGAAAGCATGTAAATTGTTGTTTGTCGTTTGGTGGTACTTTAAACTGGTATATGGCTGCTCTCAAGTACTCATAAGTCCTAAGAATACATTTTTAAGTTTGTTTCTCTTTGAAAGAAAACGATTCCATTTTCATGGATGTATAACATTCACAGATTAGAAGGTTTGTAAAATCATAATTCAAAACATAATGTGCTTTGGGATGATCATGAAACAGGACAAAATAGAAATGCATGAGAGCAAGTGAAAGAGGATAGCAGATAGGCTAGCAAGGCTACAATCAAAAGAAGAAGTTCAAACTCCTACCGCCAGTTTGTCATCTGAACAAAACGTTGTAATCCTGCTCCAATTACATGCCAAGTATTTGAACTACTGTCATGAATGATCTCAAACTCATCAATAGAGACACTGCGCTGCTTATGTATCATATCAGCCACATGATTCAGATCTTCTGCTGCTGTCAAACCTAAAGTAGACAGATTTGTCAATAAAGGGATTCATGACAAGATTGCATACCATAGAAAACGAAACATATATAAATAAGGATGCAATATAACAAATTCAAGGAAATAAACCATATAAAAATATAACCTTCAAACTCCATATTGGATTCGTTACACTTTTGAAGAAGCTCATAAGCAGCACAGACAACATTGTGTGTGCCTTCTCTACTCACTGCACTCATGCAAAAAGGTTCAATTCCACGTGCTTGTAGGCTTTGCTTAAATGAAGACCAATTTTCATATGCCTCTGGAAGATCCATTTTGTTATAGGCAACTATATAAGGCTTCTCTGCAAGTTCAGGACTAAACATTTCCAGCTCAAGACGTACAGCATCAAACTCAAACTCCGGCTGCTGAGAGGAACCATCAACAACATGTATCTACAAAACAGAAAAGAGATGTGAAGTTAAGGTCACCCCTTGGTTATAGCCACAGAGTTAGTTTTGATCTTTAACCTCCTCTCAATAAGACAAAAAAAAAAAATAATAATAATAATAATACCCATTACAAGTGGTGTACATCAAAGTTGAAGAACAAACATTTCATTTCAAATTAACAAATAGATAAGCTTTAGGAGATGAAACTTAATCAGTTGAAGAAGATCACATCACATTTATATTATCATTTGAATGCACCAAAATTGTAATACTTTGAGTCTCAAGGACTTTAACTTCATAGAAGTTGCAATGTGTGAAAAGAAGCTTGTACCAGTGCAGAACATCTTTCAGTATGCCGTAGGAACTCATGACCTAAACCAAAACCCCTGTGTGCTCCTTCAAGTAAACCAGGGAGATCTGCTACTACCATAGTAGAATCATAATCAAATGAAACTACTCCCAAATTGGGAAGTAAAGTTGTAAAAGGATAATTTGCTATTGCTGGCTGGGCAGCACTTATCACACTCAATAGTGTGCTTTTCCCAGCATTTGGAGCACCTACTATTCCAACATCTGCAACCAGCTTTAACTCCAATTCCAACCACCTGATTAAAAATACCATTATTCCTAGTGTGTATGATAGAAGAAATAGTTGGCCACTCAACGAAGGAATGAACATTAAGGAAATAAAACAACCAGTCATTGGAATTCAAAATGTTACACATACGTATTGGCGAAAGATGATAAAGAGACCCAACTTCATCTAAACATAGATAGTCTCTATTTCATGCACCAAACCTACAGATCAAATTGATCTGAAAAGAGAAAAAGCATTGGCTTAAGTTGCAACTATCATTTGAAAACCACATAAAACTATCAGTCTTAATGCTAAAAGTTAGACATGGCAAAAAACAAAGGCAACAAAAACGAAGGGCATTGATCAACAAAACTTTTTCTTGAGATAAAGAACAGGACTTACATTTCTGGACCCTGTTCACCATTCTCAGCCAACCTTGGCACTTTATTGGCGCCAGACTTAAAAGAAGCATTGCCTCGGCCACCTCTCCCACCAGGAAGCAGCAATGCTCGCTGTCCCGGATATAACAGTTCCAACAAGACCTCCTCCCTCCCAGCCTCCCTGATAACCGTCCCCGGCGCCACTTTCACAACCACATCCTCTCCCTTGGCCCCGTTCTGCATCCTCCCTTGCCCGTGCCTTCCTCTCCCAGCCCTAAAATGCACCCCATTCCTGAAAGGTAACAGGGAATTCATTGCCGCGTCCACCTCCACATACACATTCCCTCCCCTCCCTCCATCCCCACCTGACGGTCCCCCCAAAGGAACATACTTTTCGCGACGAAACGCAACAACGCCGTTCCCACCATCACCAGCTTTAACATAAATCTTAGCCCAGTCAAAGCATCGCATTACAGCCGGTATCCCCTTCTCCTTCACTTCCAAATCGCCCTCATTATCCGACAAAGTCCCCAATTTGAAATCGCCATTAGGAAAATTTACAATTTTCCCATCCGAGTCATAATAAAAATCCTCCTCTCCCTCCTCCCCATCGTCTTCATACTCCGAATTTCCATCAAAAACCTCAAATTGCTCATATTGGAGTCCTTCCTCAGCTTCCTCCTCTTCACCGCTATCCGTTTCCGTCTCAGACAAATCATTGAAATCGAATTGGGCGATATCAGAATCAAAAAGCTTGATTTCTCGAGACGATTCAGAGGATGGAGCAGAGAAGTCTTGTTTAGGAGGGAGGCGAGTGTAGGTGGTGGCTTCTACGCCGGAGGAGGGAGCAGACACAGAGAGGGGCTTGTACTTGGTGCTCCTTTTATTTTTAGGCTTGAACTTCGAATTAGGGTTTCTCTTTGAGGAATGCCTCTGGGTTTTGGAGCGAGCTTGAGTTTGAGATTGTGGCCGAGCGAAGCAGCTTGTGGCTACGGAAATGGAGATGGAAGGCATTTTATTCGTAGATAGAGAAGCAAAACGTCAGAGGCTTTTTGACAGGGTTTTTCTGGATTGCGGGGGATTGATTTCGCGCCACGTGTCATTGCCTATGAGTTACAGCTTTACGGCGCCGTTTTGTTTTGATTAGCTGGCGTTGATCTACCTCTTCAATCCAGCAAATCCATTTTTGAACCAATAATAATGGTGTTGATGTAATAACTTGCCCCATTTTCCTTATTTCATAATCAAGCCAACGGAAGATGACAGAGATGAAACCACTTTCACAAGAGATATTTTCATTGACAAGTCGATTTGTGTAGATGAATGGGTACACCTAGCAAACCGTGTAGAGTGTTAAATGTGTCCACTATTTCCATGCATTGACCAAGACTTCTAAAGCCTTCTGAGTTCTAATCTTCTGCAACATCTAAACAGGCAGCATTTGCATTTTACTCTTCTCCTTTGCTACATCGGCAATCCCAAACCAAAACATTTCTTAATTTGAATTTTCTCCAAGCTATTGAAGTGCACAAATGGGTGATCTTAACCTTGGTCCTATCGTAGATGGCACCATATCCATGCTGATTTCAGTTGTTGCCGAGCAAATCAACCAAGCGGTCAACTGGAAGAAAGAACTCGCCCTGCTTCAAGACAAGCTAACGATGATTCAGGCTGTGTTGCAAGATGCTGGTGAAAGGCAAGTGACAGATCAGGCTGTGAAGCAATGGCTCCTCAAGCTCAGGGAAGTGGCAGATGAAGCTGATTACATACTGGATAAAGTTGCTTATGAAACTGTGAAGCGCAAGTTGAAGATTCAGAATCAGATGATGGAAAAGGTGCGTTATCTCCCTACCAATCTTGGCATGGCTCATAAGATTAAGAATGTTATTGAAAGGGTGGATGGTATTAACAAGGAGGCCCAAGAGTTTGGACTTCAATCCAGACTTGCTACCACCAATTATCAACAAAGAAGAAATTTAAAGACACACTCTTTTGCTGGTGCTTTCTCACAAGTTGTGGGGAGAGAAGATGATGTCTCAAAAATAGTGCAGTTGTTGACTGATCCAACCAATGAACTACCCCTGTGTGTCCTGTCTATAGTGGGTATGGCTGGTCTTGGCAAAACCACTCTAGCACAATCTGTGCGTGGTAATGACCAAATTCAAAACCATTTTGGTAAAATAATGTGGGTTTGCGTGTCTGAAAATTTTGAAGTAGAGAGGATTTTAGCAGAAATGTTGGAGTCTCTTACCAAGAAAGCCAATGCAATTGGGAACAAAGACACTATGGTTCAAGAGATAGGATCAGCTATTGGGAAGAACAATTATCTTCTCATACTGGATGATGCGTGGAATAAAGAGAGTCAGAAATGGGAAGACTTGAAGAGGTGTTTGTTGGGGATGTGTAAGAAGTCAGGGAATAGAGTTGTTGTAACAACCCGGGATAAAAACGTTGCATTGAAAATGGGAACACTTCCCAACCACATGCATCATCTTGGGCTACTAAAAGATGTTGAATGTTGGTCTATAATTAAGCTAAAAGTATTTGGAGATGCTTCTAAACATTTAGATTCAGAATTGGAGAATATTGGATGGGATTTTGCAAGAAAATGTAGAGGTGTGCCGCTTGTTGCAAGTCTTATAGGGGGGATTTTATGTACTGAAGGGCTAGATAAAGTTGAATGGTTGCCAATCAAAAGCAAGATTGATGCACGAGGTTCACTTGTATATCTGGATGATGGAATTATGCATACATTACAATTGAGTTTTGATAACTTGTTGAAGCCAGGGTTGAAGCAATGTTTTGCATTTTGTTCTGTCTTCCCTAAAGATGAGGTCATGGTGAGGGAGACTTTAATTCAACTATGGATGGCAGAAGGGTTCCTTCAATCGCCTGAAGAAACTTCTATGACACTGGAGGATATTGGTGACAAGTATTTCAATGAATTGTTATCATGTTGTTTACTTCAAGAGGTGGAAAGAGACTTTTCTGGAAGCATTGCCTTTTGTAAAATGCATGATTTGATTCATGATTTTGCACAGTTCATTTCAAAATCTGAGATAGTGATTTTGAAGACTCTTTCTTCAAGGAGCAATATTTCTAGTTTTAGACATTTGAATCTCATCTGTGATCAGCAAATGGCGCCAACAATTTTAGCAAATGTTGCTCAATTACACACTTTGTTTTCAAAGCATGGTTTTCCCCATGACATGTCAGGGAATTTTAAAAGGTTACGGGTTCTCGGATGTCGTTATGATGTTGACAGTGAAGAATTGCCACCATGTTTCGACAAAATGAAAGGTTTGAGGTACTTAGACATTTCTGGAACTCAGACAAAAGAATTGCCCAGGTTCGTTACCAATCTATACAATTTACAAACATTTAGATTCCAGAATTGTAGATCTCTCAAAATGCCTCATGAAGGATTAGAAAGTTTAATCAACTTGAGGCATCTCCACTTCAATAATGAAAATTGTATGCCTGCAAACCTTGGGAGACTGACTTGTCTTCGAACATTGTCATTGTTCTTTGTGGGTGCAACAAAGGGGCGTAAAATTGAAGAATTGGGATGTTTAAGCCAACTGAGAGGAAGATTAGAGATCCGTAACCTTGAGCTTGTTAAAGACCAATCAGAAGCCATGAGAGCAAAATTACATGAAAAGGCAATTAATAATTTGAATCTGATATGGGGAAAAGAAGGCAATCAGGATGAAGATGTTTTGGAAGGCCTCCGACCACACTCAAATCTGCAAAGATTAGCTATTTATGGTTATGGAGGTA